AGAATCGCAAACGGAAGGGTTCGAACCTTCGCGTGAGATCACACCTGCTTAGCAGGCAGGCGCCTTAACCACTCGGCCACGTTTGCTCGGTCCCATTGTGGTACCGTATCAAAGGTAAGTTATTTACAAAAAAACATGATTATATTTTGTTTCTGTTTTTTTTTTTTTTAAGTTATTTTGTACAAATCAATATGGAATAGACTATACCTTACCTTCCTCTATTAAGTAGAGAGAGTAGGAGAGACCTTATATCTGATTCCCCAAGCGAAAACCACAATGCCCCTGGTTCACATAGATGAGGGGCTTCCAGTAACCTCAAGACCTTCCCTTTTTAAGGGATTTAAAGCTTGTAGTCAGCTGGCGAAAATGAGGTGCTGAAAGCGCCCTTAACCTGCCTCCCGCGCTCCCCTTCGCAAGTCCCACCCCTTCGCGATGTCCGTCAGCAAAACCTTTCCTCCTCGTTATATACCATTCGAAGGATTATTTTCCGACGCGACATAGCCCCATGTGGCGTGCAAGCCTTGGTCCCGCAGAACCCTGTCGATCAGCCCCGCCCCCCCCACCAGGCCATCGGAATGCGCGTCGCCTTTCTTCATGATATGCACCACCGCCGTGTTGTCGATACACATATGGAGTGTAATAGGCAGATTCCCCTTGAAAGCGAGCAAGGCCAATCCGACGGCCCTCGCTTCAGCCTGTGCAATTATATGGGGGGCTTTTTCCCAAGCACCCCCCCGTGGCCCAAACTTACCCGTTGTCCTTAAACAACAGCGCGCCCCATCCATATAAAGAGGCGTCTGGCACCAATGCCCCTGAAGTCGGTAAAGCCCGCGGGGGGTTTACGGGGTTGTTCTGTAATAGAGTATCCAGCCATTTCTGCCCCACCGTAAGGGCAAAGGGGGGTGGGGCTGCCGGACCGTGTGCGTCTAGCGGCCCCCTGTTGGGTCGCGGCGGTCTTCGGCGTGCCATTTTCAAAAAGAAATAATACCGAAAAAGCAAACCCCCCTGAACCCCCGCTGCATACATCACATGCGACGTAAGGCTTTCCAATTCCCCCACCTAAATCTTGTGGGGTGCGTGACTCCCCTCAATTTCCGCAACGTTTTGTCACTGAGGGATACCGTCTTAGCCGTATGGTCAAAACAGACCCCTATAAATTCATAACGCGCTGTGAGGGTCTCGTGCCCTCCCACCGTCGCACCGCAATCGCGCATATTTCCCATAATAGTGTTCCCCCACAACCCAACTCTTTTACGTGGCCCTGTGATACGCAGATTGTCAATCCACACGTGTAGTGTTAATTCCGCCGTGGCTGCGAACCGCGGTTTAACAACCCCGGGGTCACCCGCCAAAACCCTTGTGATGGTATGCAAAATTTCCGGGCTGTATTTATACCCCATGGAGAGTCGCGTGAACTCAACGAGCTCCCCCTTTTCTGTCTGGCAACGGAAACTCCCGCCTGTCTCTGCTGGCAGGCCTACCTGGAAGAAAGATGCCTTTAAATCGAAAATGGCAGCTGTATCGTGATAAATCACACCCAGATACTGAGAAATATGCCCCAGAGGGACCAAAGCCTCGTAGTCCTATTGTTCATTTTCAGCTTTTGGCCATGCGATGAAACGGCGCCGCTGCCCCGACGGTTTTTCCTCTACAACCGCAAAAGGCACCACCCACCCGGTAGTGGGTAGCTTTGATGCGGTTTGAATAATGCCCGCCTTCTTCATAACCTGGGCGCCCCCTCCTGCCATTCTCAAGAGGGGCCCTCGTTCCCCTGTCCTGAAAATAGCTGGCTGTTGCGCCAAGTCCCACACTGTGTTAAACCGTTCTAGAGCCCTGGAGTTAAGCCGGCTCCGGATCCAGTGCAATGAGGGAGTATCCACGCCTACCTGTTGTAACGGTAGCTTGCTTTCATCGTTCTTATTGGCCACCCGTGTGCGATGGGTACGTCGCAAAATGCTGTGCCCTTGAAAAAGCTGTCCATACTCCTTTCTACTAACCGGATAGGCCCATGGAAACATAGCCCAATTGCTGACCTGGTCTACATGTGTGCCGTCAGGTGTGCCGACTTGTTTACCAGGGCGACCCAAGGCCCTATGTAACGAGCTGTGCTGCGTGGCAGCTCTAGGGGGTCTGCGTGTTTCCCCAACTGGGCTAGTAGTCGAGGGTCGAGGTCGTGTTCGATCACCGCTGCGCCTGCATGCGCCAGCGTCCCTCTTTTGATAGAATGTACTGTCATGCCGAATGGGCGGAGTAGGTTTTCCATGTCTCTTGTGGTTAAAGTTGTGAGCCGTTCCCCCTCCACCATTCCCGTGGTGACGCCTCTCACCCTTTTTGCATCTTCTCCCCCGATAACCACGTATCTTGCCGCTCTGTGAGGGTCGATTTTGAACGTCTTTGGGAGAGCCCCCCAGTCTACAATGAGGGCTTCCTTGTGTTGAGGGTGGGGAATAAAATTTTCCTTTTGGAGTAGAGCGATTTCGCCCCACCGACTGGCTGTGACCCAAGCGAGTCGTAGGGCAACCCGACCGTTCTCCGAAGTCAGCATATTGCTGAAGAGGTCCGCCTCCCACCTCTTCATGGAGCGGGTCTGTTTTATGGGGTCTGCGGCCGCCTTCCTTTGAAGACCGGCCAAAAACATCCTGGCCGGTGATCTCCCTGAAGCCAGTAAGGTCAACAAAGTTCTTGTGTATTGCACCGCGCTGCTCTTGGTGAGTTGTAG